AGCTCTCTACGATGTTTTACAAAACCGGAGACCTTCATACGTGGAAGGTAGCACACTTTTTATACAAGACGGGCCACCACTTATTAAATATTAACAATTCTATTCTTGCAGGTAATTAACTGCTCTTCTAAAATAATATCTAAAGATGTGTTTCATTATTATTATATATCCTTTAACCAAAGCGCGTCGTAGCACGTATATGAGATGAAATAATTATAGTACAGTTTCATTTTGACGATGAGGAAAATTTAAAGTTACGTGCCATGGCAAAATGCAAGACCAGAAAGCAGCATGCATAATAATTAATGGTGGAATTTATGATGAAATATTTTGAGCTTGCTATATTTTTGAGTTTGAAAGCTGAGTTTCAATAATTTTTCTCGAATATTTTTTTCAATTTGACATGAATTAAATATTGTAGAATTCGACTTCATAAAATATTTTACTATTTTACAGGCTCTAATTCTCATTTGGCGCCGACTGCCGGTGATATATTACTCACACTGAGTGAAGCACCTCATTATTCATTTTGATTAGCTTTCTTTGCCACCAGCTAACAAAAATGCTTAGCAGGCTGGTTGGGCATTAAAAAAAGGATCGCTACTTGTAAAGAGGCTAATTTTTTATCTCAGAGAAACGATGTTTGTTAAAAATATTACTTTCTTCCAAACTGAACAAAGTTATTTACAAGCTAAAGTCATCTTCTCCAGGGTGGCAAAAAGCCCGTCACGGAGGGGGGTGGAAGCGAAGGAGGGACTGGTGGGCATTCCCAAACCTGACGTCTTTTAATTAAAGAAGGCCCTGTGACCTTGATGATTGCACTGTACTGTGTATGTCTGTGAGGCCGGCTAATGCAATTTAATATATGCCATTCTTATGTAGTTGGAAGCTAATATGCCGTAAAGGTTGTCATAAAAATAAACTTCATAAAACCTTTAGGTTTTTATACTTCAACAGTTCGTCTTGGTTTACGAGACCTGATGCATGACTGGAGTTCTTTACATTGTATCATCATGGATTTTATCCTCAATTTTATTCAGTGTAACCGCCGACTTCAAGTCATCAACAAAGTGATGCATAGAATAACAGTCTTCCCTAGTTGACAGTATTCCCTAGTATGTATAACCTCATAAAGCGAGTTTAAATGGTTCATTTCCAATGCCGGACGTTGCAATTAAGTCATAATATCGATCACGCGCATGCACCATCACGATTTTTTCCTGTATCAATAGCTCATATCTTGAGTTAAGTTTTTATTTGTTCTGCAATTTAACTGTCTTTTTTAAAACAATTTTATAAAAATTACAATAAATGAAATAAAATGTGAAAAGAATATAACAGATATGATCTTGGTATGTCGTTTTCCAAAGTCGTAATCGACTGTAAAAGGTTTTAAACTTTCGTTTTAACTTCAAAAAGGTTTTTAAAAAACGTTAGCTAAAATTTTAATAAAAAATCATCGCTTTAAAATTATAACCAGAAACCGGCAAAAATATTTGAAGTGTATTTGAAAATTTTGTACTGTTTTGATGTTTCTCTGAACTGTGATATAAAATAATTGATTAGTCTTTCATACATTTATCTCTATTCTTGTAAATATTGTACTATTTTCAATTTTTCTTTTTATTATTCACACGCCCCTCCAGGAAATCAACGATTAATGAAGTTGAGTCTGGCTAGCGTGTTTTGAATAAAGTGATGTATGTATGTAACAGTGGCGTAGCCAAGCTAATGATTTTGTCCCTATGTAAATTTCATGTTATTATAATTAATAATTTCTTTAGAAATTTATTGATTTCAAAGTCAATGAACATTAAAATTCAGATTATTCGATAAAGTCGAGATTTTGGTCTCGTGGGAGAAAAACCCAAACATAAATGCACGATATTGCTTTTGTACTTTTTCGAATTGTGTTCTAGTTCCAGGCATAACGCACAACCGCTTGCAAGAAAGATTTGTAATATTCCCCGAACTTCATACCATAAGAATTTATTTTCACAAATATGAATAATTGATAAAGCATTACTAATAGTACATGATTACAACTTCTTTTTTTACATATTCTAGAAACTCACGTTTTCCAATGTTTTTACAACAAAATATTCGTCTAATACATATGCACTATTGTTAAAGGCGCATAGAAAGTTCATTAACTTTATTTTAATTTATTGATTTTGCCATCACTTTCGACATAACATTAACATAAACTAAATTAACATTTGTCACGCAGGAACACCGCAACAGCTGAATGCCAATTACTGCGCGCGGGCCCAAATTTCACTGACGGCTTTACAATTCTTCCACTGCTCTTTTATTATGTAATTATGGTATTATACAACATCTACAGATCCGGAGATGTACACAGATTCTGGTCTTGTATCTGTTCGAGGTTAAGACGGATTTTCGTACCTGGTCACATGAATGTACAATTTGCATAAATATTGAAAATATGCACTGTATATTTTCCATAGTTCATTGTCTTTCACTGTTATGAATGACAAACCACAAAGTTTGTTCGTGCAGGTTGGTGCTTGGTTGGTGACCCAATTACTCATTATCATGACTGAATATTGGCACGCTAACGTTAAGCTGTGCGTGCTAACTATTTCAACGTAGCTATATAAACGTTATTATCGGCCTAGTTTTAGTGCACTGCATGCATGCACTTTTTATAATGTAATTATATATAGAGCCTAAATCTTTTTTTTAGCTATTTATTCTTCAACAACTTTATTTTATTTCTTCTTTCCAAATTCACGTGGTCGTATCTTCATCGATGTTGATTTCAGTGAATAATAATAACCTTTCCAATGGTACCAGTTGACTCTATCAGCGAACGATGTGTGTGCGCCATAATGATACAAACCATTAAAATTGGATTCATGACAACGCCAATACCACCAGGCTGCTTTTTATTCTACCACACAGTTTTCATCCAAAACATCATTGTCAGCATCTTTGGTAGAGAACGCCATACCGCTTTGATTTTTCAACGAGTCTCCTGCTGTACCTTAATGTAAACGTATATGCATTACCTCTTCAAAATTAAATCAAGTTAAATCAAATTAAAACTAAATGCATATAAATAGAGAATATAATATGGTTACGAGACATATCAAATACAGAAAAGCTTATGGAAAAATTCTTTTTACAATTCTTCGCTGTGATCGTTGTTGACGTCGTGTTAATTAATAAAATTGCACAACTTAATGACGTCGTGTAAAAGTGGTATGGATAAAGGGAAAAAAGGAAATAAAAAAATTAATCTGTATTTTCAAACTCAGCAAAATTAAGACTGTTCCAGTACATTTGTTTTTCCCGCACGGACGAAGTGGCCATAAAAATTTCTGCTCAGGCAGCCGTGATGTGCCTACAAAATAAGGCGGAGGGTTTCCCAAACGTAATTACTCCAATATAAGGATGAGAACCAATCGAAAATCATCTTACATTTGAAAAATTTGAGTTTGGAGTAGATTTCCACAAATTTGGTTTTATTATGATTGAATACCATTCGCGTTGAAAATAGCCCGCGTTTTTTTCGTTGAACATGACAAGAACTTTAGTTTAAGTTTACAAAATTCGCATAAGTACTTATGATTTTATTGATTAGCTAATTTTCGGTCTTGCAAAATTCACTCTTGCAAAAATCTCACAGTAATGTAGTTTAATTTGCGATATACTTCATCATTGACATGCAATATTAATGCAACAACTGTACAATGGCTCCGAGTATGCGTTCATTGTTTTCAATGAACTCATACTTGAAAGACACTTTCATAATATCTTTTAGTATACACCCGACTATTGTCTATTACAAATCCTACATTCTGATTGGCTACTCAACCATTGTCTATTCGTGATGGTGCACGCTTGGGAAAATTTTGCTCGCGAGACCGTATATAATTGAATTATTTTTCGGTGTAATTGCGGTGTATCGATTATTTTCCCGAAATTAATATATCTAGGTACAGGGTGTGCACTAAAACAATTAGACAACCTGTCTTCGTTGTCTATGAGCGAATAGTCAACTCAGGCTTCGCTTTCGTTGGCTATTCGCTCATAGACAACTCGGACTTGTTGTCTAATTGTTATTTGGTTTTTCTTCTTCTGTACTTGGAGTGATTTAGATTTTTATTACATTATAATTATCCTCATTTGTATTCAATAAAATAAAAAATATATAGTGATACAAGAAAACATTTTCCGAAGAAAAAACTCAAGGTATAGGCTATTGACAACAAGACAAAAATTAAGCACTATAATTTCGACCTTTTTCAAGGGGTCATTGTCAAAAAAGAATTAAGATAGTCCAGACCTATACACGTTATATTACATATTGCACTATTATCACGCGCGGTAGATATGGAAAAACTTTTCTTCATTAACAAACACATCAAAATTTCTATATTCCAGACAAAACGATCAATATAAATAGACACGTTTAAAACAATAAATATTTATGCTAAAAAAGGCAAATTACCGCATAGAAATTAAGTCGCCAACTAAATAATGCCTAGAATCACAGTCTTCTTTTAGCAGAAGAAATTTAGGCAATGCGGATAAGACCATACATGAGGGACAACTTTGGTAATTCACCATCTTTCTCGTATATTTCGTGCACGTCATAACCTGGCGGTCTTAAAGTTTGCCAAGCTCATCTACTCCAGCACAATAGTCTATTATTTTTAAACTCAAATTCATGTAACTTTCCTATTTCCGTCGTAGATATTATTTTTTACATGTAATGTGACAAACGAAGATATAGCTATCATGAAAGTTAGCTCATTCTAAAGAACAACTTAAAATACACTTTTATATAGCTGGTTTATTTTCGTGAACCTTGAATTTGGATAAAGCGAAGCGTAGGTGAAGAATCTCCTCTATGTAAATATATGTCGCATATTACACCATTTTAAATATTTATAAAAACCAACGTGTTAGTGCACTACACTTTTATTAAAGTAAAAAGTTTCTTATTAGTTATTTAAAGTTCAACAACTTTATTTCTTCTCTGCAAATTTACGTGGTCGTATCTTCATCGATGTTGATTTCAGAGAATAATAATAACCTTTCCAAGCCTTCCAGTTGACACCATCAGCGTGCAATGCATGATGCCCATAATAGTAAAAACCATTCAAATTGGATTCATGACAAGTGCGATACCACCAGGCTCCTTTGTATCTCCCTGCACAGTTGTATCCCATAACCTCATTGTCAGAATCTTTGGTGGTGAAAGCCATACCGTTATGATATGATAACGAGTCTCCTGCTGTACCTTAATCAATGGAAAAATATATGCAGGTATGGCTTCTTAAAAATCAACAACGGTAATAGAACGAATAAGAGTGCAATTAATGCCAAAATCGTACAAAAAAATTAATATACTTTGCAGGAAACACATCTAGAGCGGAAATCTATCCAGAACTTCCGCACGGCACCTGTTACTATGGCAACAGAGACGCTTCAAAATGGCCCCCAAACAGCGTTTAATCGTGTCTATATCGCAAACGAGTTCGGTGTAGCCCAATTTTTCTTATTGATTATTTTCACTATAGATTTTTATATATTTTTTTTTTTTTAAAAAAATCTGAAATGGCCGATTTTTTCTATTCCCAAAAACGTTATTTTGGCCTTTTAAAAAAATTCCCGATTGCAGAATTTTTGTTAAAACTTATTTATAGATAAATCCTCTAAAAAATCCTGAATGCTGATTAGCTAGCTGTATGTTCTAGAGTGTTTTTGTTTGGCTATGAGTAAGAGCGCAATTACTACTTGAAGGTAAAATGCAAAGACAAACAAAACTTCTCTCTTTCTTCGAAATGCCCTCGGAAGAGAATTGATGGAAACCATTACCCCGCATATCATGATGAGATTTATTTCAAAGCAGACCTCGACCGTACGTTATCGAATGTCCTGCGATTTTTGTTTTGGCTTTGTTTGGTGGCTTTTAAAAGTTTTGCAAATTTTAAAAATGGAGGTATTTTACATTTCTGTGGTTAATCGGCTAAGTACCAAGGTTGCCTGGTTTAAACTATAGAGTTTAAAAGATTATATCGATAACTCAATGATAGTTTTCCTGGATGCAATAGTTAATATGCTGGATATATAGCTCACTTCAAAGTTTATTGCAAAGAGAGCTGGACTTTCCTATAATTTCACTGAAATATTAGTGTGAAAACTTAGTTTAGTGTAAAAGTCTTACCATTATAACCTCCAACATTCAATTTGTACTTTGTATTTTCGCTGCTAACATTAAATGAATCATAATGAGCGTAACTGGTGGTTGCAGATGTATCTTCCATGTCGATACGAAGTTCATTTTCTGAAATATTTGTCATCATGTGTATTTTGTCAAGACCAAGCCAATATTCTCCGCTCAAGTTACCAAAACCTTGTTTGTAATCTTGCCATCCTCGGTAGAAGTCAACACTTCCATCAAGACGACGTTGAAATACAGTCCATCCTCCACCTGATGTTGTCATATCACAAAATACTTTAAAACCTCCCCTTCCGCCTGGATCAATTTCATAAAGACCACTGTCTTTTATTCCTTTATGATAAATATCAGCGCAGTCGTGACCTAAAAATTTCAAATATTTTCGGGTGATGATCATCATTTTCTAGAAAGTTATTTCTTGTTAAGAGTGGAGTAAAAATGAAGCGTAAAAGAAGAATATAAAAGAATTCAATCCAAAGATATGTGTTGTAAGTTTTAATTCTTCCTTATCAAACCTTTTTGTTGTGTTCATGTTCCAATATTGTGTTTCTTCAACTAAGCGGCAAAATATATAGAATGGCAATAAATTTTCTCTTTATTTCAAATCTATTAAAACAAACCTGCTATAATTTCATCCAAAGTGTTAACAAAACAGGTGGCATTAAAATCCTAGAACAGACAAAAATATTACTTGTAATAACCACTCTAAACGTTTTCAAACGAAACTTTTACTATTAAGAAAGATTTCCTTCCAACTGAAATATTTTTTTCTGCATTTGAATGCGAAATATAATTTAAGATTTGGGGTGCTATGTGATTTAATAAAATTCCACGATGAAGCAAAGGGCTTTTTGAGGACTGACTCAAAAAATATTCCAAGCTTAATAAAAATTTCCATGCCAGTATACTCGAGAGCCTGATCAATTTTTTTAGTTATTCTCTGACAACATTCTGTTGTCTGGAATAGTGACATTTAACCACAATGGTTGGTGACAAACGAGAAAAGTTTAAATTCACGTTTAAAAACTCATAAACTCATAAAACATATTTTAGGTATAATTAGGCGTAAATATTCAGATTATCATAATTATTCATGCCTTAGAAATTCATTGTTTTTACAGTCATTGAACATCATCATTGAACATATGCTAATAGCATATATAGCGGGACTACTGTTAAGCCCTGGTCAAACGAGAATGATAGTTGATGAGAGTTGAGAAGCGAGAGTTCGTACGAGAGTTTTCCAAACTCTCGATGCGACGGTCAAACGAGAATGAGAGTTGATGAGAGTTGAGAACGAGAGTTGATTACCGCGCGCATTAATTTCGTCATTACTCCACTTCGTTTTGCTATTTTTTTGTTTCTTCTCGTTGTTTTCAGAAGATTTCTTTTTTTTTTTGCAAAAAAAATGAAAACCGCTGGCGGTTTTGCAACTCTCATCAACTCTCATGACCGATCAAACGCGCCCAAACTCTCATCAACTCTCATCAAAATTTGAACCAGTTCAAAGTCGATGAGAGTTGATGAGAGTGCACGACAATGTCTGAGAGTTCGCGGTCAAACGCAAGCAAGAGTTGCAACTCTCATCGACTCTCATCAACTACCATTCTCGTTTGACCAGGGCTTTAGGCCGGATACGCCCTCCTAGAATGCTGCATTATTTTGACAAATAGCAAAGCATTTTTAAAATAAACTTTTTACCTTTGCAGGTTATTATCGCCACGTCCTTGATTATATGATATTAGGGACCCGTAATGCGAGACACATACAATATGTTAAAAACATCTTTTATATGAAGTGATACCTTTTGAGGGTTAATAAGATAAACATAATTATAAGAGGAATTCTTCTCCAGTAATCTCTCAGATGTATTGTAAACCACGTTGTGTAACATTTCACAGTTTGAATCATTTTTTGAAGCCAATATCTTCTTGAAGTTGATAGATCTACAACATATCTCAGTTGCACACTCCATTACGCAATCTATCCATTCAGAAACGATTTTTGTCTTAAGAACTGGTGCATTTAGTCTTAATCCTAAGAGAGAAAAGTGTCATCATAATCGTTTTCTTAAGTTGGGATATAGAACTATGAACTTCTTATAAGTAACTGAATTACTTTGTAGGTATGCCACGTAAATATTTAATACAGCAAAGCTTTCGGTCCTATTACCCGGGCCTTCATCTCTGCAATTACCTCAATAAATTTTGCATGCTTGATATTATTGTATAATTACAGTGTATTAAAGACTAGTTTGTTGATTGGCAGAAAGAACGATGAATTTCTATTGTTAATCCAGTCACTCAGACAAAGTCTTATAGCGTAGCATGTTAAAGCCCGAAAGAAAAGCTATAAAGATTTAAAGCTAAAAAAATGAACAAAATTAATATTGACTTATGCTAGATTTCCACTTACAGGAAAATAGTTTGCTAGCAAAGTATTTACGTACTTTCCATAGCATTTAAAAACTGACTGTTCCCAATTCAAAAGAAAATATGCAAATATTTATAAACTATTTCTCTGTAGGCAGAAATCTACCCTTACCTTCGAGACTAGAATTGTAGCAAATATTGCCAGAAGCTTTGTTTGACTCCGCGTTTGCCATCACAATTGATATGAATTGTATAAATAGTTGAAAGAAATTCTTCTTATTCATTGTTCTCTACACTGTATTTGTTCACCGCTTAAATAACGCTAAAAAATTTCAGAGAAATTGACAGAATGATGCCGAAAAATGCAGCCGAAAAAAAACGTAGGCGAGAGAAAAGGGTTTAGTGGAGGTTCAAGTGTTAGCGTCAGTAGAACATTCAATAAACTGTAGGTTATATGAAATTATTGATTATTTTTTGACGCGACACTTTATGTGCACACGCACTTATATAATAAGCAATACCAGACATGTTCGTGTACATACAGCGCCAGCAGTTAGGAAGTACAGCTTGCATGCAAACACTCGTAAATTTCTGAAGCTAATGATTTATTTCTGAGTAGCATGCTAAAAAAACTAACATAGTTAACATATAGCTACATATAGCTACAGAGTGTAGTTTCGGCTTATTTTTAAAATTTAGTTGAGTGTAGTTTTTCTTCTCGGAAATAATCTACACATATATTAAGTGATATATACAAAGCAGAAAAACTTTGATTATTAAATAGTGATTTTCAAAACGACTTACCAAAATAAATTGATCAAGATTTGTACAACAGAAGACCTCTACGATGTTTACAAAACCGGAGTCCCACATACGTGAGAAGTAATACACATTTTATACAAAATGGGCCACCACTTATTAATTATTAACAATTCTATTCTTGCAGGTATAATTAACTGCTTTTCTAAAACACTATCTAAAGATGTGTTTCATTATTATTATATATTTGCTTTAACCAAAGCGCGTCGTAGCACTAAAATGAGATGAAATAATTATAGTAAATCGTTTGATTTTGACGATGAGGAGAATTCAAAGTTGCATGACAAAATGGAAGACCAGAAAGCAGCATGCATAATAATGATGGAATTTACAATGAAATATTTATAGCGTTCTATATATTTTTGCGTTTGAAAGCTGAGGTCTAATAATTTTTCTCGAATAATTTTTTCAATTTTCCATGGCTTAAATATTGTAGAATTCGAGTTTATAAAATAATATACTATTCTACCGGCTAATTCTCATTTGGCGCCGAAAGCCGGTGATAATTTATTCACACTGAATGAAGCGCCTCATTTGTTATTTTGAATAGCATTCTTCGCCACCAGCCAACAAAAATGCTTAGCAGACTGGTTGAGCATTAAATAAAAACGATCGCTACTTGTAAAGAGGCTGATTTTTAACCTCAGAGAGGCGATGTTTGTTAAAAATATCACTTTCTTGTGAACAAAAACTTAATAATTATTTACAACCTGAAGGCATCTTCACTAGAGCGGCAAAATTCCCGTCACGGAGGGGAGTGGGTGTGCTCTCGAGTATTAAACGATATATTATTTAAATATTCGTAATAAATCGTAATAAATTACTGAAAATATTACAAAACACTCTCTTGTTTCTCCCCTCGTTTTCGTTGCTTTTTCGTTCTCTTTCCGTTGCCCCTGACAACCTTAACTTAAGTTCTGGAGGTGTGTCGCGGGCCTGTCCCTTCGGCTCATGGGGGCGAAGGAAGAACTGGTGGGCGTTCCCAATCCTAAAGTTTTATAATTAAAGAAGGCAATGTGAGCTTTGTGATTGCACTGTACTATGTATATCTGTGAGGCCGGCTAATGCAATTATATATATATATATATATATATATATAGATATATATATATATATATATATATATTATAATATATATATATATATATATATATATATATATATATATATATATATACACCCATTTGCAAAAACGTTGGCCGCAGATAGATAGATAGATAGAATACTCGAAAAAAGCATGGGATAATATTACACATGCAATTCTAATTAGATTTCGAGTATCTATCTATCTATCTATCTGCGGCCAACGTTTTTGCAAATGGGTGTATATATATATATATATATATATATATATATATATATATATATAAAGCATTTATTTTTGAATGTCATTCTTATGTTGTTGGAAGGTAATATGCCGTAAAGGTTGTCATAAAAAGAAACTTTCATAAAACCTTTAGTTTTTATACTTCAACAGTTCGTCTTGGTTTACGAGACCACATGGAGATGCACTGGAGTTCTTTACATTATATCATCATGCATTTTATCCTCAATTTTATTCAGTGCTATTCCGCCGACTTCAAGTCATCAAAAAAGTGATGCACAGAATAATAGTCTTTCCTAGTTGACAGTATTTCCTAGTATGTATAACCTTATAATGCGAGTTTAAATGGTTCATTTTCAATTCTGGACGTTGCAATAAGTCAAAATATCGATCACGCGCATGCACCATCACGATTCTTTTCTAGAGTCAATAGCTCATATCTTCAGTTAAGTTTTATTTGTTTTGCAATTCACTGACTGTCTTTTTTAAAACAATTTTATAAAAATTACTATAAATGAAATAAAATGTGAAAAGGATATAACAGATATGATCTTGGTACGTCATTTTCCAAAGTCGTAATCGACTATGAAAAGCTTTTACACCTTCTGTTTAACTTCAAAAAGGTTTTTAAAAAACGTTAGCTAAAATTTTAATAAAAAATGAATGCTTCAAAATTATAACCAGACAACGGCAAAAATATTTGAAGAGCATATGTGATGTTGCTACTCTGAGTCACCAACTGGGCAAGCTAAAAAATTAGCTTGACGACGGT